CATATGTGTGTATATATGTGTGTGATGTGTGTAAGTTTGTGTGTGTGTTTGTGAGTGCATGTTTAAAGGTGTACGAGACACTATTTTTATTGTAAAATGTATATGCATATATAATCGGTTCGTTTCACTATACTTGTCTATTCGTATCTACGTGCTCTATTATATTCTCTACATATATGTTTGAAGTATGTGACGCGTTTGATAGATACAAAAAATGTGTCTGCAATCATGTGAAACAAATAGCGAGTTACAATTTGAATCTGGTATGCATATACACACATGCACATGCAATGTTTACAAGGTATGTACGAAAAATATTTACATCTTCTGATTTCCTGTCTCCGGTCTTCATATTAATGCTAATACACTTCATTAAAACCAATTATAACCATACTAAATGCTAATATATCTCCCTAAAACCATAACCATGCCTTTCTCCTATCGTGCTTTCGTGCTTTGATAAGCTTCTCATTAGATGAATTCGCAAAGTTGCGACGCATCCCACTCAGTTTTTGACCGAATGCGGCTTTCTGCTCACTTAGTTTTTCTCCGATTAAGTCCATCGTGAACTCGTGAGCTGTACTATTTGAAACTTAGGCTATGAATAAACTAGTTATCCAATTTGAATATCCCAAAACAGCCAGGTGTATATACTGTTGATATTGGCTTACGACCTAAATGTTTAAATCTATGAATAGACTAATTTTGCAATTTGAATATCCCAAACGGTGTGTATGCTTATGGTATTGGCTTACGACACAAATGTCACAAGTACTGCCCGCTTGGAATTGCTTGCTGGGGTTTACTGTTGTGACGTACCAAAGCTCGTGTCTTGACCTGCAAGCACTGAATGTAATAGTACGATAAAGTATATATCTATTGGCATCTAAGGATAACTTCGCGCGTATATTCAACTTCATCGAGTGTTCGTGCGCGTATATCCAACTTCATCGAGTGTTCGTGCGAGTATTTGATTTAGTATGATCTATATTAGCACTATAGAAACAAGAAGTCTAAAAATTCTTGAAGCAGAAGTTTTAGATACAAAGTGGTCGTGAAACTATACATACCACAAATCAAATTTGGCATATACATTGTCGTAAAAGCCGGTTGTTAGTTTTAATTGGTTGATATATCTTCAAAAGTCTATACTATCGGTTAATTGGTTTAGAACTTCTATCTGTGGCGTTTTTACCTCTTGCTCCCCAGCAGCAGGGATTTCAAAATGATCCATGAGGAAGTCAGGAAGATCGCACTCACAGTCTCACACTGGCCGTCTGGCACTATTTTTCAGTATTTATGTACATATTCAGTAGTATTAAAAATACTCGTCCTAACCTCCCGAGCTCAGAATCCCGACCTTTTACGTTACAACTTTGACTTTTTTACGTTTACGCTAAATGTTTTGTGTTGGACAAGTGTGTGTTCCTATGGGTACAATATTTGGTGTCCGAGGTGCAAACAAATGGATAAATTTCATCGTGTATTCATATTGATGAACATATTAATTAGGTCAGATCTTTTCTTCTTCACTACATTTTACATAAATATGTACGCTATATTTTAAAATAACGTTCGAAAACTTTTGCTGTATGTATTTACATATGTATACACGTTTTATAATTTTATATGTTCATCGTTCAACGTATACCCTGAAGAACAACAAGGCAAAAATTACCTTATTTAGGTTTGTTCCTTTATTGGGGTTTGGCGCACACGGCGTGCTCAGTTCCAACAGGCAACAACTCTTGCGGTTTTCTCATCTTGGGACTTGGGGCACCTTCTCTTGTGACTTGTCCGTTGGCTGTCTTTCCTGCTCTTTAGGGGTTATAAAAACCCTGCGCATTCTCTTTATAGGCCTGTTTCGGCTGTCATAGCACAATCCACATGCTCTATTCTGCCGCCCGTGTTCTATATTTGTTTTCATGTATCTAAATATATTATTCATCCAATCACTTAGCTAGCGCATGTATTTCCAATGTTTCTATTCTGGTCCTACCCTGTATACGTCACTGTCTTTGGGCCAGTCCATCATCATTCTGAACCAGAAAGTCAGCTGAAGGAGCTATACCATCGATCTCTATTTGGTAGCCCGGCGTGCAACGATAATGATTCATCACGCTTTCCATGCCACTCTATGTTCAGTTGAATTGAACCAGTGAATGGGGTATACACTATACAGAATTATTAATAAAGAGCTGTTGAATTTGTATTCACATCTCAGAGATAATATTTGTTCGGTTCCGCCAAATCTATATTTTAAAAATATTCTCAATTCACTCTACTAGAGAGATTTTAATGTGAATAGTCTTTATAACGTCAACGCAAACATTGAACATAAACGCAACACCATAGCATTATGTAAATAACAGAAATAACACATTAAATGTTCGATTGCAAGTTACGGTAGAGCTGATTGAATTTTATACGTTTAAACGTAAAAAATACTGCTTCACTCTAAAATTACACTCAGTTGAAATCACTTTGACACGAAAATAGCATAAACGTTTATCTTTAAAAACGTATAAACGACTCATTTTGAAACGTTTTAACGAGAAATGAACTGAGGTTTTTGGCGAGTCTCACTCTAGACTACAGTCTAGTAGTTCATGTTAAATACTTGCTGACAGTTCAGGACCTCGCATTGTCCCGAAGAATAAATATTTATATCTTTGTTTATGTATAAGTTTTGTAAACTACAATAATAACTAAGTTAGTGTCGGAAGAGGCCCAGGTGATGCTATATGCACGTTTTGGGCTGCAACGCCCGCTGTCGAACGGCCTCGCGTGTGATTACCCCTGTCCCATCCTTGTCGTAGATACTGAAAAGCTCGTCAACTCCCTAACGAGAGCAAACCAATGTGTGGTATTAGATATATTGTACTTTCCACGTATGTACAACGCAGATATATATAGTGTGTATTAATAGAAATATAATAAATTTCATGCATGTGCAGTGCAGATTTGTAATATGTGATAATAGAGATGTAATCCTTCCATACATATATATATATATACATACATACATACATACATATATATATATATATATATATATATATATATATATATATACATACACACACACACACACACACACACACATATATATATATATATATTAAGTATCTCGAAGATGTACATCACAGCTGCCGGTAGTAATAGTGGTATAATTCCGCTTCGAGAGACAGTTTTGTTAGAGCGCTTTGAATCTCAGTGCAGATGATTGTGTAGCACCATATGTATTTTTATAGAAGCCAAGGTGTCAGAGTTTAAAGTTTAGGGTTTTAGTGGTTAAGTTTCTCAAGGTTAAGAATGATCCTAGAGGCAAGAGTGAATGGGCCTCACACTGAACCGGCTATAACAAACCGGTGCAGAGTTAAATCGGCTTGACATTACTACCAATCCACTCAACACGCACGATTATCGGCAGCATAAAACTAAGCTGAACGCAACGAAGTGACAATGAACCTTGTGTAGTAGGTAGGCATATACTAATTCAACTACCTATAGCTACCTATACAGTCACACCTACACCTGGCATAACCCATACCACTCGAACTCTCACACACATAGTACCCTGCACTGGCCACAGCAATGTGTGTGGTAGGTAGGCTTATACTAATAGAGCTACTTACACAGTCACAACTACACCTGATATAACTCATACCACTCGAACTCACACACACATTCTATCCTGCACTGGCCACAATCAGAAGGGTCCGAGCGGCAAGCATCACGGCATGTGCTCCAAGCATGTTATCAAGACTCCGATGGAACATAGTCGATCATACGCTTAGCAGCAACTAGAAACATGTAAACGTGCATACGTACTGACGCACTCCCTGACAAACACTTGTGTGGATATTTACATACACATTCGAGAAGTCACATATACCACTCTGAATGCATACCACTGTCAACCCCTCACTCACTTCACCACGGACCATCCCATAATGCAACGAATAAGTATCTAGACACTACGGTGGACATACACCTTCATGCATGAGAAGCAACATCATAGACTAACCACTCACAATGCAACAAACACTCCGTCGTGGTTCAGGTCAAATATGGTCAATCATTGCTCAACATATATATATATATACATTAATATATATATATATATATATATATATATATATTCACCTGCCCACACATCACACACACACACTCGCAACACACATCCCGCGTGCACACACTTGATTCTCCACGGGCCTGCCCAAGGTACGTTCCATGAAGTGTTTGACCTCATCCCATTCAAGCACTCCGTCGTGGTTGAGGTCGAACATAGTAAACCCAGTGTGTAGTACCGCACTGCACATTTCTGCGGGTGAAATCTCACCGTCACAGTCCTCGTCCGTCTCCTGAATGTAAGCCGTCGTGTGTGTGTGTGGTGAGAGATTCGAGTGGACTAGAAAGAGTGTAGACGTTTTATTGTATAGTTTGTTGCCGAGTTTGCTTTCTTGCGGACGATGATTGGCGAACACTCTGGTGGGTTAGAAACACTACACACTGAACCATAAATCATGAGATCTCCCTGACGCGAGTAGTGGTGGATTCATGATAGGTGGCATAACACAGACACAGACACAGACACACACATATATATGTATATATATATATATATGTATAACAATATATATAGCAATACAGCAATATAGCAATATAACAAAATAGCATAATAACAGTATAACAGTATAACAATACACACACACACACACACATATATATATATAATTTTTATGGATACACTTATGATACCTTGAACCAATTATCCAGAAGAAAATCGAGTGAGTTTGTAAACGAAATGCGCCTCACTGCCGCAGCCCGAAGTTCGGATCGAGAGATACTGCCATTATCGTCTGTGTCCAAGGAACAGAACGATCCTATGTGCATCCACACATTCCGGGAGAAGTACCTCACAAGCACTTGCTGAATGCAGTGAGAATGTGTATACACAAGCGTAAGAGAATGTGTGTGATTACGAACATTTGAATGCAGCTGAGAGTATGTTTGTATTGAAGTGTGTGTTTGTATTGATATGTGTACGTAAACGTGCATATGTGAAGACATATGTTGGTATGTTCTATGTCGGGACAGCTTAGATATATATATATATATATATATATATTTATATACATATACATACACACACACACATATATATATATATACATATATATATACTA